TGGGCGAGGCCCCGTGGTTTTTTCTCTTTTGGGGTTTTCCACGTAAAAACCTTGGTGTTCACTTTCTCTTTCTGTTTGTGTGTGAAATACTCGTGCAACGCTAGGACGCGAATTTACAAACTCTACCGCCGCGTATATTCTAGCACGCAACAATAGGTATGAGTATTTACTTTTGGTCATAATCAAATAAAATAAGATTATAAATAATTGAGAATAATTGTCCAATTACAATTATGGAGAATACAAAAAATGGATGTTCACAAATAAACAATTATATCTCAATAATGGTGTTAGATGTTAATAGTCAAATAGTAATTATATGATAGAAGTCTCATGATAGTGGTTGTGATTGTTGATGATGGTCATTGACGGCGATCATAAAAAATTACAATAGAGTTTCTCAGCTGTCTGTGCTCTTAAACCTCTCTCATTTCAAAGATAAAGGCCTATTTTATACCTTTTTGAAATAAACATTTTGATAAATTTGATTAAAAATTCAAAACATCTAGTTGTATGATTCATATTGATCCTCTTGATCATCGATTGTTTATCCAACATTTTGAGTGCATTAATGATGTCAGAGTTGAATCATCTTGGGCTCATTGGATTTGTATTGTTAAGCCGCTCGATTTAACTATAATCGCATAAAATTTCAAGGTCTTTTGATCCTTTAATTAATGTTCATTAATTATTAAATATGCTTCAGGCACTTGATTTGAATTTATTTAGACTAATATCATATCATTTATGGTGCTATAATTCACATTATTAAAAAATTCAGGTCGAGTACTATAAGTTTAATGAATTAAAGTTATAATTTTAAATTTAATTAAAAATTTTATTCATTCAAATTTTGCCTTGAGATTCATATATACTGATCAATTAATATATCTAAAAAAGAAAAAAAAAAACTTAAGTTTCACGATTTTCAATTTCAACTATAAAAAAAAAGTTATTCGATTTGAGTTTATTTTGAGTTTTTTTTTTTATGTGGCAATTTACAGTTCCACAGATTTTTTTTGGATGTTTTGAATAATTGAATTAGAACAAGCCAAATAGAAAATTATTATTACTGAACTATCATGATATCTAATCAAAATTAAAGAGTTAATGCTCCATTTAAAAACTACAAAACTTCTTTTTCTATCGTGAATTTATATTAATTAGATTGATCCAATCCGAACCAAAGTATAGAAATAAATCTAATTACTCAAATAAAAATCCTCCGTTCCTGACTTTTAATTTATTTATATATAGCAATCACTGTAATATAAGTTCTGTTTGGGACGCTTGCAGTGTTTTATAAATTAGGCTGCGAAGTTGTTATGGGAAAAACAATTTAACTACTCTGGTTACAAATGTTGGGAAATTTGTATATGTGGACTCATATATTGATATATATAAATAAATTATTGAGCCAATTAAAAGCTATTTAAAATTGAGCAAATTAAATTCGTGATCTATTTAAAAATTAAACTATTTGGCTTATGTGACAGCTCATTTAATTTGGAGAGAATTAATTATTGTGTAGAGGACGAATATTTATTTTTATTTTAATTATGAGCTGAAATCAAATAAATACACTTAAAATATAAAAGGGTCATGGTCTTCAGTTTAAGCGGTTAAGTTCTCATTTACACCATTTCTCATCTTGAGTGAAAAAGAAGAGGTCTCTCACTCTCTTGGAGAACGCCGCTTCAAACGTGGAAGATCGAAAATCTCAATTCTGCATTTCAGTGAATTCAGGTACGCTTCCGATAATTCTGTTTGCATTAAACCCTAAAAAAATTATTTGAACCACAAAATTTTGAAACTTTCTTTGATCTGGTAACCTAACGTAGCTCTATATTTGGTGAGTAGTAAACAGGCGCCACGTGTTCTCATTATTTACCGCGCGGCCCGACAACCCGACCCAGAACGGACCCGGGAGTTTGCGTATTGCTCGGTATTTGTCGATTTTGCTCGACAAAAACGAAAACTACCATTTTGTGAACACCAATACCTAGCAATACGTACCGAGCAATATCGAGTTCTTTTAGGTATTACTCGGTATTGCTCGGTATTGATCTTCACAAAGCGGTATTTCTTGTTATTGCCAAGCAATACTTAGCAATACCGAGTAATACATAGCAATACTGAGCAAATACCGAGCAACATGCAAACATAGTAATCCCGGATTCCGGTCCGAGTCGGGTCGTCGGGCCGCGCGTTAAAGGGTAAAAGCACGTGGCGACATATTATTGGCTACCGGACGTAGAGCTACATCAGGTCACCTGACCTAATAATTTTTTCAAAATTTATTTTGAAAAATAATGAGAAAACAACAAATAAATAGTAGCTAAATAAAAACTTGATTAACCAGCGAAAAATATGTCCCAAATGGCCAAATGGACTCATAATAATAGTATAGACTTCATATCAACATACAGCAAATTAATAATAGTCAAATAAAACCAAACTCTCAATAATCTATAATGAGAAACCAATTGTCTAACAAGTCAAGCACAACTTTTGTTTTTCTATTTTCCTTTGTTTTTACTAACATTTTCTTTCCTGGTAGATCCTTCCAGGAAACTGCGTTGCACTGAACTTCCAACTAATTCCAAGACCCTTAGAAATCACCAAATGGCATCCCATAACTTCACCAGTCATTCTTCCTGCGTCTTTCCCAGCACTTGCACCTCTATTTCTCCACCACCATCCTTATCAACCAGAGGACCATATATATATATAAAGGCATATACACATATTATTACAAGTCCTTCAACAATTTCAACAATGGAGCTGCTAGATTTTGTCATATTACAAGTTGTTGCTATTACTCGGTGTCGCATTGAGTTGACTCGGTTTTTATCATGCGACGGAGATCGCCATCTATTTTGCAACTCTCGAAACGATGACATTGTGATCTCTACTGATGAAATTGACGATGGTGGCGGTGGAGATCAGGAGTTGACGGCGGACGATGTGACGGCGGTGTTGGAGAGGTTGGGGATAGAGTGTGTGGAGAGGGGAAGGGAGGGGAAGGGGGTGGTTGAGGAATTGTTGGAGGAAAAGGAAGCAAGTGAGTGGGAGTTGAAAGAGGCTTTTTATGTGTTTGATAGGAATGAAGATGGCTTCATAACAGCTGAGGAGCTGTGGAATGTGATGAGGAGATTGGGGTTTGAGGAAGGCAGGAGGGTGAAGGACTGTGAGAGGATGATCAGAGCTTTTGATGAAGATGGTGATGGCAAGATCAGTTTCTTGGAGTTTAAGAGATTGTTAGAGAATACAATGTAGATTTCAAGCTTGTTTTTTTTTTTTTTTTAGCGTGTGTTGGGAGATTGAATGTTACAAGTTTTCAAAATGATGTATTGGAAATGGAGTTGTTTTCCTGATTGTACTGTAATGACCTGTAGAATTTATAATTTAATAAGAAAAAGAACGCCAATTCATTTTGGTGGATTAGTCGTCTGGAGACTAATCAGAATGTGCCACATCACTCATTTGTTGTGTACCACAGCTCTTACTGCGGCTCGGTACCGTACTACCGCTCGGTATTGCGGTTCTGTATTGCTGATATGTCTGTATTTTTTTCGTCTATGAATGTAGAGCTGCATCAGACCTCTACACAGAATAATTTCTTTTTTTCGTGATGATTTTGTAACTTTCTAGGAAGTTTAAAGAAAGAAGATTTCGTCCAAATCAGGTTGCGTGCTGCCAGTTGATTTCGATTTCAGTTGCCATTTAATTTATGAATGATACAGCTAGCGATAATGTAACAGTTATAAATTATACAATTGGGATATAGAATGGCTGAAGATATAGATTTTTTACGTGGATAATAGTTTAAATTTATGATTTGTTTCATACATAAATTATAATAAAAATAAAATATTTTATATATTAGTTAAAAATGTATGTGCATGTGTAGCTTAAGCAGTTCACACAAACGCAAATTTTTTTTTTGCAATTTTTTGGAACCAAAAAGCATTTCAAATAAAATTCAATATTTTGAAAATTATTTCAACGTCGTAAGAATGTTAATCTTAATACATTTATAGTTAATGTAATGAAATTTATTGACCCTATTAGTCTATGAGATTCATATATGATAACCCACTATTGTCCAATTAATGTCTTTCAACAACCATTGTCTAACTACAGTTTTTTTTTAATAACCTCAATTACATGCCAATTAAGGTCCTTCTGACCTTCTTCGTTGGCTGAGTATAGTGATCTGACCACTGCACGATTAATTATTATGTGTGAATGCCATCCGAAGATCAATCAGAATGCGCCGCGTCACTCCTTCGCTGTGTACCACGGCTCGGTACTGCTTACGTGGCAACGTCTGATTCGCCTCCGGACATAGAGCTGCATTTGGCCTCTGCACAGAATCATTTCTCCATCACTTGACTAAGATCTTCTGATCTTCATTACTCGACTACGATCCTTCGACCGCCGTCATTCGACTACGGATCTTCCGACCTTTATCATTTGTGGATTTCAATCCTCCAACAGTAATCATCTACCAACTATACTCCTTTCATAAACATATCGTCACTCAACTATAGTCCTTGAACTATCATTGCCTAACTATAGACCTTCCCATCTCTATTGCCCTTAGACTACTATCGTTGGTTTAAAAAGGAAACATATGCAATCTACACCGATAGTCAACTTTGTTCAATAATTTATAAAAATTTGATCATAATATCTTTCAAAATAAATTTTACATCTTATTCTTAATTCATTAAATTTTTTCATGTTCGCCAAATAATATTATAAGCACTTTTAAGTTTTAACTTGATCCATATGAACTTGAATTCAATCCAATTTTTTCTAATTTTTAAATCCATTTGTGTCAAAATTGTTACCTCTTACTTAATCTTCAGGCCATAAACCTTTCATTTGGATGATAATCAATTTTTTTCCTAAATCCAAGATCTATAGAGATAACATCTAAATTAACTTTTACATGAATTTATTTGAATTGTGTATTGTAATCACACATATATTATCACATACATCTAATTCATTTTTTTTCTTTTAAATTATTTATTCATATGTGTAACGTGAATTAAAAACTAGTTAATAAATTTGATTTTTATTTTTTTGAACAAAATTTTGATCTATTAACTAAAAAAGACGGGGTTACAACAGCTGGAGAAAGGAAAAAAACATAAAGAGAAGAACACCAAATAAAAGATACTATCACAATAAAACAGAAAATAAAAATACGAAAAAAGAGGGCTCAGAGAAGGCCGAGACCCCTAGCACCCTCGAGTCCGCACAAGGCCATCCAGAAAAAGTTGCCACAAGAAACAATTTTCAATCCAATCGATGAGCAATCCGATCAAATGAAAGAAACAATCAACCTTGAAATGAATTATCTTCTTCTCCCACCTCTAGTCCAAAATTTCCCACGAGAAGCAACCGTAAGAGGTCTATCACGTGCCATTTTAAACTCATTTCCAGGATCTGAATATGACTCAGAATCAGATTCATATTCAGACGAATTATGCAACCAATCAGCATGGGACCTAACATCCAATCCGGAAATACCTCCCACCTGGTACATCATAGTTTGGGATGCCATTAAGTTTACTGGAACATTAACCAAATTTTGAGAATTGACCAACAAGCCTTCCACATCCGAATTTACCACATGTCCGCACACATTTGTATCCACATCCATAGAACTATTCTGAAACTGAACAGAATCACCCACAACACCTAAAACAGGCGAATCACCATCAACCAACCCACCAGGCCCCCTACCACACGCAGCAGAGACAGGCGCAACAATAGCAGGAGTAGAAACCAAAATCTCAGAACCAATCGGCACCAGATCAACAGCCGAGAGAGAGAGAGAGGCGAAGAGATACCATAGAATGGCTGAAGAAACTGTGCTGGCTATCATTAGATTTTCCTCATTTAATGCAAGGATTTTCTTTGAGTTGTTTAGAGGGAAATAATTAACTTGGTTAATATTTTTAGAGTTGATGGATATGCACATATCCATTCATACCCATTAGATATGGATGGATGTGGGTATGGATACCCAATGTAAGACTATGCTGGAAATTAGATTGCATTGCCTTTGGTGAAATTTTTGCATAAGTGGGTGAGATTTTTGCATGCCAAGGTCAATTTGTGTTAGAGAAAAGATGACCCATCTATTTAAAAAAAATGTAATTATGGTGTGAGATTTTTTTTTTTTTAAAAAAATACTAATTTCTTTTTATTGTTGCCTTTCATTGGAGAGGTTATATTGTGGGGTGTTTGAACGCGTTCAGAGGTTAATCCGAACGTACCATGCCTTATGCACTATACATTGGATGGCATGATGGCTCGCATCCGGTATACTTGAGCCAATAACAAGTCTTTATATGTAAGTTTATTATTTCTATCATCCCACGTACAGCCAGGGATACAAGTCTTTTTATAGAAATAGGTAGAAGGAGTACAGGTATACCTAAGCCAATAACAAGTTTCTATCTAATCCTACATTACAATTATAATAGGTCATAGATCTACGACTGTGATTTATTCATCTTCTCTGATACGCCCCAACAAATTGATGGGTCATGAATGACCATCTATTTAAGTCTTAGTTAATGGAAACGAGGTGTAGACAAAGATTTAGTAAAGATACCTGCTAGTTGGTCTATAGTACTGATTGGATGAAGTCTAATGTTGTTTTGCTAGATGTGATCTCTAAGGAACTTTTGATCAATCTCAATGTATTTCGTGTGAGAGTGAAACATTATATTATTAGCCAATACAATTACAGACATGTTGTCACAATAAAGATCGGTCGGATAGTCTTGTGAGATACCAAAATCCGTGAGAAGTCGGCGTAGCCATATAATGTATGATGTAAGTGTCGTGAGTGCTCGATATTCGGATTCCGTAGACGATCTTGCCACTGTGCATTATTTCTTGACTGTCCATGATATTAATGTATCGCCCATAAATGAGCAGTAGCCCAATGTTGATCTTCATGTGAGAGGATCTCTAGCCCAGTCCGCATCTGAAAAAGATTTGAGAGGCAGATTAGTTTTGGTAATAGGTAACCCAAAGTTCAGCGTACCTTTCATATAGCGGATGAGTCATTTGAGCAGATATATATGCTGAGGAAGGGGATTGTGCATGTGTTGTGATAAAAGAAAGATATTGTATGATACATCAAGATGAGTTAGCGTTAGATACTGAAGTGATCCAGTTATTTGATGGTAAAGCATTGGATCAACAAGGAATGGTTCGTCATTAAAAACTGAAGGGTGTTTTGTACACATCAGATTGGCTAGAGAATTGCACTGCGTGAGCTCCACTTACTGTAGAATGTTATACGCATATTTTGTTTGAGATAAAAAGTAATTATTATTGAGTCGTGCTATCTTTATGTTAAGAAATTCATTTGCTTCCCCTAGGTGTTTCATAGAAAATTCAGAGTTAAGTTTGTCCAGAATGATATGAAAGTTGTCTTGGTCGTTGCCAGTGATAAGGATGTTGTCGACGTATATTAGCAAGTAGATCTAAACTTGTGATTTGCAGTAGAGCAGTAAAGATGGATCGTCTTGACTGTTCGAGAAACCAAGAGACATAAGGAATGATGTGAACGTGTTGTACCACTGACGTGGAGCTTGTTTCAATCCATATATTCCTTTGTGAAGGCGACAAACATAGTCCGAACGAGTACTATCTTTGAACCCCTTTGGTTGAGTCATGTACACAGTCTCTGATAAAGTTCCATGCAAGAATGCGTTTGCGACGTCTAACTGTTGGACTTGTCAGCCATGGTATAGAGCAATGGTCAAAAGAATACGTATTGTTGGTAGTTTCACCATCGAACTGAAAGTTTATGTGCAGTCTATTCCGAATTCTTGATTATTTCCTTAGGCAACCAATCTTGTCGTATGTTTTACCACCGAACCATTTGTGTGAAACTTTGTTTGATAAGTCCATTTGCAACCAAGGACGGACGCACTTATTGGTGGCCGAATTAGACTCGAGGTGGCCTGCTTTTGAAGTGCGAGGAATTCTGTAGCCATTGCTTGACGCCATTGAAATTTCTTTGACTACCTCAGTGTATGTAGTCGGATCCATAAGATAGTTGGTAAGTGTTTAAAAGTGAAGAAGATTCAAACACTTTGTTTGTTTGAGCGAACCAATGTTGCTTCTAGTTACCATTTGATGAGTAGGCAACGTAGACATAGCAGCTGGCTGAGATGAGGGTAGTTGAGTTGGCTGAATGTTATGAGAAGAGTTAGTAGTACTGTTAGAGTTTGGAA